GAAAAAAGAAAATCCATCATTACAATCACCTATAAGACTTTCAATATCTAGAGAAAAACAATTCTATCACAAATAATAAAAGTCAGTGCATAAAATAAAAACAAGTTGAGATAGCAATTAAAAGAAATGATGGGTATAATTTTTTTAAGCTACTCAATTATCTTAAATGAAGTAGCTCCTAAATGAGACAGATTACAAGGAAACTTTTTAAAAAGTCCTAAGAAAAGGTTTTAAAATTTCACTGAAAGAATTTTTATGTCCAGGACAACTACATTGGCAATTATCTAAAACTTTGAAATTATAAGCATGTTCTTAAGACAATGAACAATGGTTATCTTTAGCTGTCTGCTAGAACGTATAAAAAATCAGTTTCATGAATTCGAAGATAAAAAATAAATGAATTTAAGTTCTCCAATTTAGATTCAGTCGTCGTAGTGCATATAGAAGTAACATTCTCCAGAATTCATGAAGTCAAATTTCATAGAAAGTTCATCCTCAAAGGTTTTCTCTCTACTGGTGAAGTGATGAGAAAATCTAATTGAAACCAGCTAATTGAGTATTTGGCTTTCTGAATCATTTTTTTATAAAGCAAGTAGTTTGAATGCAAATGGTCCTGATAATTATCTCTATCCTCTTTCTACCTGTCTGTGTATACACACTCCTCCGCTCCCCAAAAAACCCATAATCTTGATGTAAGATAAAAATGCTAAAGTCTTCTACGAGTTGTGTCTCCTAAGAGGCGAGTTTATTAGCAAACACTTTTTACTAGAAACTTGAATTTCACAAAATATCTCCTATACAGAATTGACTGGAGAAGGTCTTCACTTTTTATCCTAAGATATTTTGGAAAATAAGGTTAACTTTTGATTTACTAGATTCAGAAGAGTTTGTTTGGTTTTCTTTATATTTTTAAAAGATAAGTTAATTTGTATCCTGCCATATTTTTTTAAAATTACAATTTGATTCTTGTCTATGCTTTAACCCCTAAAAAGCAATGGTTTATTTTACAATACAATTTTAGCATGGATTGGTCTCATTACAAGTCTATGGCTTCCTCTAATCAGAGCCTTTTTCAGCATTTATCTCCTAAAATAGACAACATAAAATATGGAAACATCATAAAATAATCAAATCTATACAAGATGCTTTGGTAAATAATATATTGAAATATCTTTTAATACATTATCTACTAAGAACTTGATGCATATTAATATTTAGAAAAAATAATACATTAAAAGTGTGGAAACTTTGAAAAGTCATTATTTTGAAATTTAGGTTATTATAATTTCTTTAAAGAAAAAAAGATATAATTACCCACCATCTTAAATACTGATGAGAAATGGCATTTTTGTTATTGACTAAAAGCTGTAAAATTGGATAAGCCAATGAACGACACACGTACAAACGCTTCAAGTTTTCATAAACCAGATCTCCCAAAACATTTTACTAATAAATTAGTAAAGCCAAAGACTTCACTGTAATTTGAATGTTCTTTGTAGTCCAACAGGATTGGGTTACTCAATTGAGTTCTTAACCAAAAGCTTAGCATCTCTGCTCAAGCAGAGTGACAACTTAAAAAATATATACATATACATCAATATTTATTCTAGTATGTCTATCCTCTACAAAGCAGTTTTATACAATGAGGAGTCTACATTATTTAATAACAGGATTAGATGATTGCATTTTACCCTAAAACAGTTTCAACATGCATTACTATAAAGCTACAATTCAAGGGAAATATATGTGCTTTATATAACAGTTTTAATCATAATGTGTAAATCACATTAAAGAAGACTGAGGCACCGCGGTCCAGAAGAATCCGAATTTCTTCACTGCTATATATAAAGAATCAATTATCTGCAGCAAAGAATGTTTTGATTATCAACCATTTAAACATATGATTTCACTTATTTGTTGCTCTTGTATCTGATGTTGAGTTAAAGCTGATGGAAATTTGATCTTTCCTTGTTTTGGGTAGTGGCCAAACTGATGTCATTCTGCAGGGAGGGAAGGGGGCAGAAGTGCTGTCTTTGCAAAAAGTCTTGAATTGTTTCATAGAGGTAAATATACTGAAATGCTAAATACCTGACCTTTTTGAATAAATGTAGACCTACCTTGATTTCCACAATAAGCCTCTATTAGTTTCCATGAGACAATGTTTTCACAAACGTAAGGCAAAACAGATGTTAAATTACTTAACAGAACTCATAATTTAAATAATTAAAACTAATTTGTGTTTAAAGCTATTTGCAGATTTATTAGAGAAACAAATACAAATATGCATTTCTACAGAACTGGTTTTTTTCTTTTCCAAAATGAGCTTAAAACTTGTTCCACAGTTTTTACTTGTTTATATATCTATGGTAACCCAAGTATTGGCTTCTGTACCACTTGTAATGAGACAATTGCCCTTCCATTGCAATCATAAAAAACTATTTAAAAAAAAATTCGGCACATACACGTTAAATATTTTTCCTTAAAAAAATAATCTAATCAA